ACAAGAAAGCTACCATAGGTATCCTTTATGAAGGTATTGAGAGGGCGAAATCAGCTATTGGGGAGAAGTGTAATTTTGCTAGCAAAGTGATCGAGATTATAGAAAGGAGGTGGAACACCAAATTTGGACGTCCAATTCATTATGCTGGTAAATATATATTTATATTATTACAATGTTTCAGTTTACATCATTTTTTTATGAAATTGTAAATGACATTTTTCTACCTATATATTTTTTAGGTTACTACTTCAACCCAAAATTTTTCTAGTTCTACCTATATATTCGACTCGCTTCTGATAAGCTTCATAAACTAGTCTACGTTCATTATAATTTAAACATCAGAGAGCGACAAATAAGAAAGAAGCTTGAAGACTATGGGCCGATAGCCTTAGACATAATATTTGTCACAGACACAGCAGACCAATGGGTAGTAGAAAAGGAGGAGCCAGTGTTGCACAAGAGAGCGTTTCTTGAGGCTATCGGTGATGAAGATCTTGAAGAAAGTAATGAGCAGCATGAAAGAAGAAGCAGTCAGCCAACGTATCCACAATTCGTCGGAGATGTCGGTGATATTGCACTTAATGAGGGAGAGTGGGAAGGGGGTCAAAGAGAAAATGAGAGATGATGATTCTGAGGCCACCCTATCCCAGCCATATTATTCACATATTGAGTCCCAACAGCAACAGTGTAGAGATGAACACGACAGTACAGGTGAGCATGAAGGATGGACAAGCTTCGGGGATTTTGGATTGGAAACACAACAAAACACTAACACTCAGGGACTTGGGAATAGTCAGACGCCTGCTAATATCGATGATTCGTTTTTAGATCGAATCAATGAATTGTCAAACGAATTCAATCAATGGCATCAACGTGACCAAGAAGAACAACAACGTCGTCTATCATTTTATTTTTAGATCGTATGTTACTAATTTTATGCTTTTATTGTAGTCCATGTATGTTGATATACTTATTCCATGATAATTCTATGTTTATCCTTTTGTGTGATGTAAATTAAATGCTGAATGGCGGTTCATGCAGGGAAAAAAACATATCAATATTCGAATATTCAGTCAAAAATATGAAAATTCTTAATGGAATACCCTCATTTCTTATTGAATTCCTAAAAATTAATATTTATAATGAATTTTAATAAATTTTTTGGATTTTTTTGAAGTTTTATTTTGACCGATTCACCCGATTCTCGATCCGGATCGCCGATTTGTCGATCCGGATAGATTTTTTGGGTGCCCGATCCGGGTCACCGATCCGTTTTTTAAACCATTGATTCTTCGGGACCCATCTTCTTCTAAACTTGGATTAACTTTGAGAATCTTATTTAAATAAAATAAAGAAGATGAAAATTTGGTGGAAGTTGGACCCCTTGAAAAAAAAAATGTTGATAAATCAAAACTACACCAAAATAATATTTTAGGGGCATAATTGTCAACATCCAAACGTCAAATCGGTCAAAGAGAGAGAGACTTGTTTTCAATTTGGGTGCGCAAAAACAAGAAATGCCCCAAGATTTTTTAAAATGACAGGAGGGTTGGCATTATTATATCGTTCACAAATAAAGAAGACCTTTTGTTTCATTATTAAGTAAACTTTAAACTTATTTAAAGCCACAAGAATAGTGTACGTCACATGGGTGCAGCAAAAATTATAGAAGTCCTCGGGAGTCTAGAGAGAGAGCATTGAAAACTATAAACTGCTGTCTAGAGAGAAAATGCTCCGAGTAGAGAGAGAGCATTAGGCATTGGGGTCGCAATGGGACGGGTTAGGTCGGGTCCAGGTTCGGTCTCAATTATTTAATTATACTTAAATATCTCATAAATTGGGATACAAAAAATATTATTGAACCCGGACCTGAACTCAGACCCTAGACTCAAATCCAAAAAATATACACTGAAACTATTTACTTTTGGTATAAAGTGATCACAATTAATTTTGATTATTGGATGGATGCATCTATTCTATGAGTAATGATCCTATACGACGCTCCCACATTCATGTGTATAGGATCCCAAATAATCACCATTAAATTTGATACAGATCTCTGGAAAAGTTATCACATGGATATGAGACTTGACTTTTCTAAATATCTGTGTCTAATTTAATGGTGATCCTTTGAGGCTCTACACAAATGGTGTGATATGGTTTCATAGGATCATTACTCTTATTCTATTGACAAATCTCAAACTTTAAAAGAAATTAAATTGAATTTTGTAACGCATCCAAGCTATCAGATTTTACATCGAATGGTTATAAGTACTTGTGATCCCTTTTTTAAAACATCACGTAAATGCTAGGAATTTGAGTATGGAGAGAAAAATAAGTAAGTGAGAAAACTAGAAATTTATTGAATCCCACGAACGGTTCACTATCTCAGTATTTTTTTAATCTAATTTTAAATAGCTCATAACAAATTTCAACACATGATCATGAGATCATAAATTGTTGGAAACTGCTCGATGGATGAAATATTAAATAGTTTATCTGTCTAGTTGATTATGAGAACTTCCCCCCCCCCCTCCCTCCCCCCCCCCCCACCACACACAGACCATGACATAAGC